TTTCCAATTGACAACAATTCTGTTTGTGTGCTGATAATTAGGTCAGGTGGCAGCAGAGAAAACAAGACAATCGCTGTGACGATATACAGACAACAAAGGAAAGCCTCTACTCGTTTGTACGGCTGACAGTGTTTTTTTCTTTGTTAAGTTATGCCCTGCTCACATGCTGCAGACCCTGTCAACACAGGCAAACACAACCTCTTCTAATGAGCAGGCCGTAGGGAGGCAGTGGTAGAGGCTTCTTAGAAAGCTGGTGAATGCGGTGGTTAGGCTGCCTCCCGATGGTGCTTACATCCACACTGTCAGACTCACAGTGACTTTGTTGTCAAGGTCAAGCAAATGAGTCAGGTGGGATGGCTCACAGCAGGGAGAAGGAGTGCAACTGTCCTCCATCCGTCACGGCATGATACAGCTTGACTGTGATGACATAATGCCACTGGGCCAATGTGGCTCAGCGGTTAGCGCTGCCGTGTCACAGCAAGAAGGACACAGGTTTCATTTAGCTTCCTTGTGGAGTTTGTACGATCGACATTGTTGGCACGGGCTTCACCCAGGTGCTCCAGTTTCCTCCCACTCACCAAAGGCATGCAGGTCAAATGGGCCTGGATGCTGACAACACAAAGAAACTAAATAGGATGACAGTTAAAGCAGTGTGATGAGGTTTAAAACATGAAGACAGTTTTGCTTCCAAGTATCTGTAGAGCCCTTTTTTTCTCAATTGATGTGCTGAAAATCTATGGAAGCGGCTGTGGCCATGGCATACTTTCTCTTATTTTCATAGCCTCCCTCACAGCGTGTCATTGGGCAAGATGCCTCACAAGCTGTTTGCAGGCAATTAAGAATATAACAGCTAATACTTTACTGTTGCTCCCATCAGCAGTGATATCTAGGGAAAATAAGATGCTTACTGTGTGAGAACTGGTGTGTCCCAGTAGGCAAGCTTCCATAACCACCACAATAGTCAGAAAGATAAGCCAGCGCAGCTCTAATTAGTCCAACAGAGGAACTTTTAAGGGTTGCATCCGAGCCAGGAGCTGCATAAATTCATATAAATCTACAACAGAAAAAAAGTAAATTCCTTTCATTGTGATCAGCCCTATAAGCTGAAGCACTCCACTACAGGAGCTCTACAGTGTGTGAGAGCCTGTTTTCTGATAAGCTGGATACACCTATTCAGTTTGCTGATTAAAGTCATATCAGGCAGCGCTCCTGACAGCTGAGCTTCTGTGAAAAGATAAAAGTCTGAAGTCTATGGAATCAGTTTCAAAACACCGCCATTTTTCCACACACCAAAGAGGAAGAATGCTACACACATGCATCAAAAAAATTATTCCATATCCATATTAAAATGTTTTCATTTTAAAATGAGGCCACTCCTTTCTGGTGTGATCAGGCTAGAGTGCCTGAATGATTTACTCTCTGTTGCTGGATGCTCTTATGCTGCCTCCATCACTGCCTCCATCACTCTAAAAGCCCAGCATCACCCGTGCTCCTGTTTTTCAGTCCACAGAGTATGCAGATGTCTTCTTATTCAACCCCAACTGAACACCCAGAGTCATCTCCTAGTGTCAACTCTTGTGTATACACTTTAAATGTCAGAATCGACTTACAACACACTACTGTATATTCACCATTTTCACTGTAAACAACAAATAAAAAGAAACATGGCGGTTTAACATGGCTTTCTTCGTAGAACAGGACCTGCTCCACCTGTGGATAAAAACAGCTCATGTTATGGTAACGAGAACACAACAATTTTTTTTTTTTTTTTTTTAGGTGATTTAATGAAAACATACCTATGAATATTATATTCCTTTTCTGCCAATAGATCTTCCTTAATTATTCATGTTTAAGGAATGATGAATAGTGTCGATAAAATTGTGCCATTGTTGCAAATTGAGGGTTTTAAAGAGAGAATCATACCAGTGACATCAGACATACAGAACAAGGCACATACTGTATGCAACATGGTGTGTAAGTCAGAATGTTAAATAATAAATGGTATATTTTGTTTATATCTTACATATTTTATATACATTCATAGAATTCAGAATTTGTAGGTGGTGGGCATATTTTAGCCTTGAGGTAATGCTAGAGAGAGTTTGTTTACAGGGGAAAACACACTCTTCTGTTAATGTAATAAACTAATAATAAACCCAGTAATGTAAACCATGGAGCCATAAAAAAACATTTTTATGAAGAAATTTCAACCCAAATTAGCAAAATGTAAGGAAGACTTCACTAATATAGTGACGGAGAGTTCTGACTCTGTTGCAGCTACTGGAAATGATCCGCTGCCATTAACCAGTAAGCAAACCACACCACACGAGTAACAAATGCATCTTTTTTGCAGATCATGTCTAGCTTATTTTTTCTGGACCTGTTCATGTCTCTGAAAGCGTGAAATTCACTTGTGAATGTATATTACTGTCAATATTTATTGTGAGTTAACCAGAATTCAGAGTTTAATGATGATGATGCTTTATAGCAAAACAAGTTTTTTCTTGTTTTTCTCCTTCAAAGCTAACAGTCTCTATTCAGAGAATACAGATCCACAATAAATTAAAAAAGGTGTCCTGTGTAGAGGGTTTACAAAATTCTGCCACAAAGTATGTTGTCAAAACAACTGAAAATGAAGAACAGACTGTTCCACTTCACAAGGCTTTCAGTGAACATTTGAACCGCAGCAGAGACGTGACGAAGTTGCAGGGCAGCAGGCTCACGACGCAGCTGCATTCAGTGGACATCACAATCAATCAATTCAATGGTTTAATGTAAAACAGATTTTACCTTTTTGAATAAAATCAAGTTAAGGTAACAAGTAGGGATGTAACAAAAAACGATTTGCTCTCGCTCCCTCCCTTAAAACTCTCGCAAGA